TTATTTGTCTTATTTCAAATGGAATGTCTTTCAGAATCCTGATGGTACTGTCCCCAATTTTCAAGGGTGTCCCCGTCGTCGCTTTCAGGATAGAATTCCTCACGTGCCTCTTCGAGAATCTCATTACTATTTCCCCAGGCAGATTATTCTTCTTTATGTATACGGAATAGGACCTGTAGGCCACATCCATTTCACTCATAAGATACTCCGCCTTCAAATCTGTCACTGGGGTTAATGCATCGCTCATCACTTGCTTCAGATTCTTGCCTTTAAATTCTGGGACACCTTGGAATCGAAGGACCAAGTTTGCCTTTTCCATTTTTAGCTTTAAAAGTTGTTCTTCTGTAGAAATTTGCTTCTTTTCCAATCTTTGCACCTTTTTCTTCACCTTTTGGGTACTGGCGTCAACTTCTTTCACTTTCTCAGCTGTTTGCTCCGTGATTTTAAGAGTCTCATTAAATTGAAGCTGCTGAGTAGTGATGCTTTGGTTCATCATTGACAGCTGTTCCTTGAGATTAGTCATCTGGTCCAGCAGGGGGCACAGGGATTCTGCCAACGTTTTAGCCAACTCGGTGGTTGCTTCCGGACGAGGGCTCCCAACTACTTTTGCTGTTGAAAGTTTTTCTTTCTCAGTCCTCTTCCCCACCATCTTTATGGATTGTTTACTTTCCGAAGATTTGCTAAAGTCTCTGAATATACGCTCATACGCGCCCTGGTAAGTCTCTCTCAACAGATTTCAGCGTTTTTGCTTCCGCTCCCCCCTCTGGTCTCGCATTTAAATTCGTGCGCTTGGGAGGCCTCCCCCCACTCGCTTTCTTTCCTAGTCCTTGGGGTGGGAGCTTTCTTTTTAAAATGTCAATTACGCTCTAATCTGACTCACAGTTCATAATCGGTCTTGCGACCTCGCTGTAGCTCCGTTTAAATTGCTCGATCTCCAGCGCTTGTCCCAGTCAGTGTCACTAGTTCCATACGGACACACAGCAGGAGGACCGTCAGGATGGAGAAGCGCCTCGATTCCCCAGCATCGCGCTGGCGAAGAGGCCACCTCTCAAAAGTCCCATGGCTAGGAGCCTTTCAACCAGGCTCCGGGGGGGGGGGGTTAGCGAGATGTCGCCCCCCCCTTTCTGCAGGTGTGCAGATTTCATCCCCGGGAGGTCCGGGAGATGAGTCTGCTCAGTGTGTCGCCATAAACCGGAAGTCATACCTTTCCTTTTATTAACATTGTTTTGCATTATAAGGTCTGATTTCTAAACCCATCTCACATTTACTGCCGAGAGTAGTATTGTGACATTACTGGACTTTACAGCTGGCTAGAAGAAAAAAATGCACAATCTGCTGACCTGTCAAAATATTCCCATCTTTGAATCAACTGAAACTGATTAGTTTGAATAATAACAACTTGCAAGCCAGTCAGCTTCTCCATAAAATAATGCTATCTCTTACAACTTCATTTCATTGTTTTACTGTTAACAACCATCACCCAATTAAAAAAAAAATCAAAATCATATAATCAAATAATGGAGTATGTGTGCTCCGTTATATTACATTTGTATCCTACCACATCTCTACTTCAGTTGCCTGAAGTCTAGAGTGTCCTCTTGCAGTGGCCTTTCAAAAGTATGTCTTAATCGCATTTTCTCTGACTTTTGAACCATTTGCCCAACTTTCCTTGGCCAGTAACCATTTCCCTGACTTTCCGGAAACTGGTAGCCCTGAAAGAGCTCAAAAAGATGAACTACTTAAAAGCTCAGGTAATTTTTTTAAAAAAAAATTGACATAGTGTCTAAAGGACTGTGAAATAGGTACCAGGTATTTCATATATACCCCACTCCCCCACCCCCATGGGGGCTCAAAACAGCTCACATCATTCTCCTCACCTCCATTTTATCCTCAAAACAACCCTGCGAGGTTGGTTAGGCTCACACTGTATAACTGTCCCAAGGTTACCCGGCAGGCTTCCTTGGCAGAGCAGGGATTCGAACCTGGGTCTCCCCCATTCTAACCACTATACCACACTGGCTGGGGGAAGGGCGTTCAAAAGAGGAGGCATCCCCACTGTGAAAGCCCCATCTCTGATCACAATATGTTTACTCTCTGCTAGCAGGGGTATGGAAACTGGAACATGGGAAAGAGGGTCTCTCAGCTGGAAGGCTGAGCAGTAAGGTATGGTTAAGTTTCCCCCTATAACACTCACACTCGAGGGAGTGGCGTGAGCACCAAATGAAGTTTCTAGGGAGTATGTTTTAGACCAGGCGGAAAAGCAGGAGCAAATTGACAAAATAGAGACTGGGGTTGCCAACTTCTAGGTGGAGCTTGGGAAACTCCCGGAATTACCCGAGGGAGATCAGTTCCCCTGGAGGAAATGTGTCTGCTTTGGAAGGTGGGCACTGTGGCGATATATATATATATAGGCGATATATATTTATAGGTTTGATTTATACCCCGCCCTCCCCGCTGCGCGGGCTCAGGGCGGCTTACAATCAGGCACAGGCCAGTATCAAATATAAAACATTTTAAAAACTATTTAAAATCTCTACAGTACAATAACAATATTGTTAACAAAAGTGCTCTGATCTTCCACAAGATGGCATATTGCAACTGCTCTGCCAACTCGGTGGCGTCGGTTCCGGGAAACACTGGTGTTCTCTCTTCCAGGGCCAGGTTATGATGGTAATGGCGGCTCCTACTCATACGCCTGGCAGAAGAGCTCCGTCTTACAGGCCCTGCGGAACTGTGCAAGGTCCCGCAGGGCCCGGATCTCCTCCGGGAGCTCGTTCCACCAGGTAGGAGCTGCCACCGAAAAAGCCCTGGTCCTGGTAGCGGCCAGCCTGACCTCTTTGGGGCCTGGCATTGCCAGGAGGTGTTGGGTCCCCGACCGTAGTGCTCACGGGGGAACATATGGGGAAAGGCGGTCCCTTAGGTACGCTGGGTCCCTTAGGTACCCCGCTGAGGTCCCTTCCCTTCTCAAACCCCTCCATCCCCAGCCCCCCCCCCCCAAATCTCCAGGGATCTCCCAACCCAGACCTGGCAACCATACATGAGAGCCATGAAGGCCTAGTAGATAAGACAACGAAATGGCCAGTTTGGTGTAGTGGTGAAGAGCACGGACTCTGACCTGGGAAAACCGGGTTTGATTCCCCACTCCTCCACTTGCACCTGCTGGATGACCTTGGGCAAGGCATAGTTCTGTCAGGGCTGTTCTTGAGAAAGAGCAGTTTCTGTCAGAGCTCTCTCAGCCTCACCTGCCTCACAGGGCGTCTGTTGGGAGGGGAAGGGAAAGGAGTTTGTAAGCCGCTCTGAGACTCCTTTGGGTGGTGAAGGGCAGGGTATGAATCCAGTCTCTTCTCTTCTTCATCTGTGTTGATGCAGAAACCAAATGCCTGTTCCTGGGCAGGAGAAACAAACTGGGGAAACCTTTGCCCTTCCGGATGGCCACAGGACGCTAGAATGGATGGGCCACTGGGTCTGATCCAGCAGGCCTCTTTTGCAGTACCCCTCCCAGCTGCAGCAACAGGCGTAAGGGTTCTTCGGATTACCAACTTCCAAGATCAGTTTCCCTGGAGAAAACGGCTGCTTTAGAGGGTGGACCCTTAGGCCTTATACCTAGGGTTGCCAGGCCCCCCGTGGCCACTGGTGTGGGGTGGGGGGTAGGGTTGCCAGATCCAGGCTGGGAAACTCCTGGAGATTTGGGGGTGGAGCCTGGGGTACAATGCCAATGGGTACAATTGCCAGAGAGTCCACCCTCCAAGGCATCCATTTTCTCCAGCGGGACTTATGTATTGAGCCTGAAACAGTACCTGGAACTGGTCGAGCTTGTTCCTCCAGAACAATAGCTGACCAGGATCCTGGAGTTGACCAGTTGAAAAGTAGTGTAATGTAAATAGCCTATCCTTGGTAGTGGAGGGTGTTTGGGTGTGGTGTTTGCATGCTTTAAAACCAGGCAGCAGCCTTGGAGTTGTCTCTTTGGTATGCCTGAAATCACTTAATAAACTAGAGCTGATTCACTGCAATGCGTCCAGAACTCAGTATTTAACAGAACTGACGTCTGCAGTCTGGAGATGAGCGGTAATTCCGGACTGGCATCCCTATACCCTGCTGAGGTCCCTCTCCATTGCAAACTCCATTTAACCCTCTAAAGCAGCCATTTTCCTTCAGGGGAACTGAACTCCACAGTCTAGCTGTCATTCCTTGAGTTCCTAACCTCCAGGAGGTGGCTGGAGATCTCCAGGAATGACAACTCGTCTCCACAGTACAGAATTCAGTTCCCCTGGAGAAAATGGTTGCTTTGGAGACCAACCTCTATGGCATTATGCCCCACCAAAGTCCTTCCTTAGCCCCCCCCCCAAAAAAAAATCCAGGTGTTTCCTAACTCAGACCTGGCAACCCTAACCTCATCCCCAAATCTGCAGGAATCCTGAACGCAGCAACCCAATTTGGGAGATCTCCAGGCTTCACCCGGAGGTTGGCAACTTTTCTCCTCTGCCCTTTGAAGCCGCTTTTATCGCGGGGGTGGGGGAGGGAAAGGACCTGGCCCCGCGCACGCGCAGCACGAAGTGCAAACGGCAGCGGGCGGGAGAATCTCGCTCGCGCTCCCCAACGGCCGCCGACGCCGGACCTGCCCAAGAGGCGCGAGTCTCTCGCGCGCCCCTCCCCCTCGCGCCCTTCTTCTGACGTCACTCGAGGAAGACGAACAAGAAGCCACCATGTCGGACGCGGCAGATTCGCCATAATCGGTTTGCCCGCCGCGGTTTTTCCACCCCCCCCCCTCGGACGCCATTTAATAATTATTATTAATATGATATGATAACCCGAGATTATTATTTTTGTCCCCTCAGGGACTTCTTCTCACACTCGTGTCGCGAGAGGCACGGAAGTGTGTGTGTGGGGGGGGTTGTGTGGCGGTTTCTTCAGGGACGAAAGTGCTTTTTTAAGAAGACACTTTTAAATTATTTTTAAAAGATTTATTTTTTATTTTTAAACGCGCCGCCCGCCTCCTCCTGCCCTCCTGCTGTCCCACTATGGAGGCACCCTCGGCAGGTGAGTGGGGAGGTGGGGGGAGGGGCGCCTCGGGGGCCTGTCGTGTGGAGGGGAGGGAACGGGGAAGTTGAGCGGACGGACCGGACGTGACGCTACAAGGCGGGCCACAAATGGAGACACGCTAGGGTGACGCGAGAGCCTGGACTTCCGGTGACCTCTCGGGGCGCCACGCGAGGGCCAATGAGCTCAGGCTTGCTTTTGCTCTAGGCGCTGCCGTCTTTTTGCTAAAGGCTCCTCACCCTCCCACTCCGCTTCGAGGCCGGAAAGGCGTAGCCTTATTGACCATAATTATTGTGTCGAAACTTCCGGCTCCATATCGATTGTGGAGGTAGCCTACGCGGAGAACTAGGGCGAACCGCCTTGAATAGTAGAGAGGAGTGGGTGGTCTCTTGCCACGCATATGGCGGCGGTGGAGCTCAGAATCGGAAGTGAGGGCTCCCTGCAGCTTGGAACTGGGTCTCTTTCCGGCAAGAAACTCGCTTCGCGTTAGGAGGATGCAGCCGCGGCGCTGTCAGTGATCTTAGCTGCCGGTGCGGTTCACCTTGGCCGTCCTAATGTCCTTTTTTCTTAGACTCCTAGAATCATAGAGTTGGATGGGACCTGCAGGGTCATGTAGTCCAACCCCTTGTGCAAGGCAGGAAATTCACAAATACCTCCTCCTCCCCCCCCCCTCCATGCCCAGAAGATGACAATAAACCTCCAGGATCCAAACTGGCCTGGAGAAAAATTGCTTCCTGACCCCAAACTGGTGATCAGCATTTCCCTGGGCGTGTAAGAAAGGGCCACAAGAACTAAGCACTGACGCAACCCTTCCTGCCTTCCCTTCTCCTGATATGCCTAAATTCACAGAATCAGCATTGCTGTCAGGTGGCCATCTAGCCTCTGAAAACCTCCAAAGGAGGAGAGCCCATCAGCTCCCCAGGAAGCCTCTTCCACTTCCTTTAAGTTGCTCTCACTTAAAACCTCAGAAGGCAGAGAGATTAGCTGCTCAAATGCCATGCTCGTTATCAGTAATAACACTACTGATTATATTAATACTCTTATGACTTATAATAATGCGCAGGGCTCTTTTTGTAGTAGGAACCCCTTTGCATATTAGGCGACACACCCCTGATGTAGCCAATCCTCCAAGAGATGACAGTAGCCCCTGTAAGAAGAGCTCTGTAAGCTCTTGGAGGATTGGCTACATTAGGGGTGTGTCGCTTAATATGCAAAGGAGTTCCTGCTACAAAAATAGCCCACCGCCTTATGGGTGGGTAAAAGCTTCTCTGCTCTTTTTTCCTATAGTCTGTTCTAACAGCTTTGTGAGGTACACCTGAGGGTTTTCAATTTTTTCCAGGAGAAAGAAGTGAAATCCCTGGAAGGGAGCGCAAAGCTAGCTAACCTTTTTAGGGTTTGTTTATTCATTATATCCCGCCTTTCTCCCCAGTGGGCACCCAGAGTGGCTTTGATTATCCCCCTCACCTCTGTTTTATCCTCACAACAGCCCTGTGAGGTAGGATAGGCTGAGAGCGTGTGACTGGCCCAAGGTCACCCAGCAAGCTTCTGTGGCAGAGTGGGGATTTGAACCTGGGTTTCCCAGATCCTGGTCCAACACTTTAAGCGCTACACCATGCTGAATGCTATAAAGTCTGGTACCAGTTCTGATTTTTCAGGTACCCTTCCTCTAGGTGGGACCTGGAGATCTCCTGGAATTATGACTGATTTCCAGTCTGCAGAGATTGGTCCCCTTGGAGAAAACAGCTGCTTTGGAGGGTGGACTCTATGGTGCTATACACAGCTGAGGTTCCTCCCCTTTGCAAACTCCCAACCTCTCCAAGCTTCACCCCCAAATCTCCAGGAATTTCTCTACCAGGAATGGGCAACCCTACCCTAACTTCTTCATTTTCTGTTTATTACAATACACATGTGCCATTTTTCTTCTTCACACATGGCCCAGCTCTTCGTTTCCAGTCCCCGCATCTGCTCTTCTCTCAGATGTCGCACTCCGCTTCTTTGCTTGCTTAGTCCCCTTTTTGTCTTGTCCTTCCTTTGAGAAAGGCAGGGCAGCGTCCATGATTCTTCTTCCCCCATGTTATCATCACCAGGGCTATTTGTGGGCAGGAACGCACAGGAACGGAGTTCCGGCTGGCTCCTAAGTTGGCCACGCCCAGCAGGAACTCATTAGCATAATAGGCCACACCCAACAGCAGAAACTCATTAGGACTGGCTACATTCGGGGTGTGTGGCCTAACATGCAAAGGGTTCCTGCTACAAAAAAAAGCTCTGGGTTTTGACAACAAACAAGGTAAACAGAATAAGAAGCAAAAGGTGGGTGTGGCTGGATGACCACACTTCTGGTAACATGGGGGTGCGGCCTAACATGCTGTGCTGTCAGGGTGTGGCCTACCATGCTAATGAGTTTCTGCTGTTGGGTGTGGCCTGTTATGCTAATGAGTTCCTGCTGGTTTTAATCTACAAAAAAAGCCCTGATCATCACAGTGTCTCTGTGAGGTCGGTTAAACTGCCGGTGGACTTGGCTGAGTGGAGATTTGATGCCCAAGCAGCCTAGCCTTAGTATAGTGCACTAAGTGCTACCGTATACTGGTTCTCAGCCAGTGGTATGGCAAAGTGTCCATGTGGTATAGTGCTTAGAGTGTTGGATACACCACACTACCCTGACCTGGATAGCCCAGGCTAGTCAGATCTCGGAAGCTAAGCAGGGTCGCCCCTGGCTAGTATTTGGATGGGTGACCTCCAAGGAATACCAGGGGCATGACACAGAGGCAGCCAATGGCAAACCACCTCTGAAACGTCTCTTGCCCAGGCCTGTAGCTACGGCGGGGCTTTTGGGGGCTCCTCCCCCTTTCTTAAAGGCACAGCCTTAGAAGAATTTCTCCTGTAAATGCTTTTTTCAGTCATTTTAATATATATATTTTAAAAGTCATGTGCTCCTTTAAGCAGAGTGGGGTGCTGTAGTTGACTAATTCGGGCACTGAGCAAGGGGGTTGGAGTAGGTGACCTCTAGGATCCCTTCTAACTCTGTGTCAAGAAACTGGTCTCCTTGAAGAGAGTTTTTCTGCGTAAGTCTTAGCTTTCTTAACTGTTTTAGAGTCCAGAGGCACCTTTAAGACCAAAAAAAGGTTTATTCAAGGTATGAGCTTTTGTGTGCAAAGCACACTTTTTCTTGACTATAGGAGTCATCCCCCCCGCCTGTCTCCTTGTTATCGGAATTGTTGCTTAGGCTGGCAGAAGTGATTAACTTGCAGCAGCTGAGACCTGTCATCTAAAGTGGTTGACAGCTCGCAATTCAGAGATGTATCCTGGTAACAACTTTCTATTGGCTAAATGGCTTTTCTTTCTGCACTAACTTCAGCCCCACCAGAAATGTTTTGCTCCACAAGCCACAGAATCCTGACTATGGGCCTGCTTTTGCCTTAGAAACAAGTCGAGCTCTCCACCTAGTGGTAAATAGTGCTAAAAGATCTAGAACTTTTGGCTGCCAGACAGGATCTCCTGGCTATTCTACACACAACGTCATACAATAATTAATTAGTGTTGGATAAAGACCGAGAATCCTGGGGTTCAAATTCTCTTTCAGCCATGAAGATCTCCGGGTGACCTTGGTGCAACCACTGTCTCAGCCTAACACATCTTACAGAATCTCTGTGAGGACAATATGAGGGAGAGATCCATACATGCCGACGTGAGCTACCTGGAGCAATGGAAGATTAAAAATGCTCAAGGGGGGAGCATTGGTAATCATAATACAAAATAATCATAATAATCATCAAAATCATCATAATCATCATCAATAATAAAAATCATAATCATAATTAAAATCATAAATACAGAAGGTGTAGACAAAATCGACACCTCTTGATACCAGTGCTCCCCCTAAGCTGTGGAGTCTTGTGAGCAAAAATTCTACTTTGGGGCAGTCGCACACTCTGAGCCTAACCCACCTCACAGGGTTGTTGCGACAATAAAATGGAAGGGAGGCAAATGATGAAAGCTGCTTTAGATCCTCTTTGGAGTCAAGGTGTGAATGAACAGCTGAATTCGAGTCCCGTGGCACCTTAGACACCAACAAGATTTTAGGTGTATAAGCTGTTGAGAGTCAACACTCTTCATCAGACATAAACAGAGTCAGGTATAAATTAAGTAAATAAATAATCATAAATACAGAAGTTGTAGACAAAAGTCCCATACGGGCAAATGCCTGGAGGGAGTTTTACCTCCCTTTTGGAAATCCGGACACGATGGAAGTTTTCTTCATTTCTTCAGGGAAGATGTCCATCAGTGGCTATTAGCCACAAGGTATAGAAGTCCATCGAGGTATAGAAGTCCATCAGTGGCCATTAGCCACAAGGTATAGATAGGAACTCTCAGGCTGGGGCCAGTGATGCTCTGTATTCTTGGTGCTTGGGGGGGGGCAGCAGTGGGAGGGCTTCTAGTGTCCTGGCCCCACTGCTGGACCTCCTGATGGCACCTGGTATTTCTGGCCACTGTGTGACAGAGTGTTGGACTGGATGGGCCATTGGCCTGATCCAACATTGGCTTCTCTTATTTTCTTATGTTTTTAATAGGAGCTGTCCCTGAAGTAGACCTGTTCTTGCCTCCATTGTTCTTTAAAAAAAAAAAGCTTTATTTTTTAATTCAACAATATAGCAATATTACACACTGACAATAGAATGAAGTGCAATTAACGAAGTACAGCAAAAGATAAATACGAATATCACACTTATCTTAACAGATATAAGCATTAGAACCTTCAGTACAGCATGAAAAAGGAATAATTACAATTCATTCAATGTGAGCAGAGAAGAGAGATTTGATTCTTGTCCAGTACATAACAATGATTTGAGATTCCTGACCAACATTTGTGTAACACGGGGGTACCATTTCTCTAGAAGACTGGGCTGATTTGCAGAATCTCTAGATTTATCTAAATTATTTGTAATCTTGTCCAGAATAAATAGGTCCCACAATTTTATGAACCATTCTTGCAGCGATGGAGT